TTCTAATTTCAAATGCAAGAATCTTCAGGTTCTTACGATTCTTTTTTCTAATTCTATCAGACGTAAGAATCTTCAGAATGAAAACATCACAGAGAGATAGTCAGAAGGATTATTCTTGCGAATAATCTGTGATCTTTAAAAGATCTATACGATGTTCGTACAACGTGTCTGTCGGTGTTCGTGTCGATACAATCAAAATTAATCGACATCAACATCACGCACCTTTATGATAACGTCTGGGTGGAAATAATAGTTGCATGTAACAATGTAAACGGCACATCTCTCGTGCATTTATCCGATCTTATTTAGAGCGTACGTCGTCAAGATCGTAACGATTGAGTAACGCACGGTCGACCCACGGTAATACCCACGCATTTGCTCCAATTTCCATGGGTTTCGAGTCGTGACCGGGAAAATGACAAACCCGTGCACCGTGACCTCGACAATGCCTTTCGCTGTCGATCGCAGCGAGTGGTTCGATCGATGACATAAGAGAATGGTCAGTGTTGCTAAGCATTGTTATTGGTAGATTACAGATGTTTGTACGCTGATGGAAAAATTAAGTGTGCAAGAATATACAATTACGCTTTTGTCGATTTTCCATGGAATTGAAATTTTATCGATCAAAGCGTGCAAATGATTTATTTAACGAATATATAGCACTTCGAGTATCGAATTATTTGAAATTTCCTTTTTTACCATATTTCGTTAAATACGCGGTAGAAGCTTATATATCGATTCTCAGAAGAGCTACGAATTTCCCGAACAACTCGTAGCTATTAGCGTAGTAAGTAAAAAGCTGCATCGTACGATGAATACTTGTCCGACTTTCTCTATGTTCAACCTTAATCCAACTAAGAGACTCTCTTCGAAATTAAAAAATAATATTACTTGACACGGCGTTCTCAAGATTTTCAAAGCGTTACGAGTTAACCGGACGATAATAGACACAGAAAAGAATAAATACATAATTCGTAGTAGCATGCACGTTTTCGCAGTAACTTCAATCACTAATCACGTAATACCGACAACTCGTTCGAACAAGACGAATAAGCATAAAGCAAAGCATCGCGTAAATCATGCCATAAATCAAACTCTCGCTTTCGAAAACTCTATCTGATTCGTCGATTCTTCTCGCTCCTTGTCTTTTTTTCTTTGGCCAAGATAATACCGATGAACGAGCAAAATGTTGCTCGCGTTTGCACGGTCACGTTTTAATGGCCGCGAATCGACGCGTAGAACGCTAAAGTACCGGTCTACACGGCTTCATTGTACATCTTTCCTTTTGAATGCTATTTCGCTACGGGCGCGCAACCCGAGGAATTCCAGGAAACGAACACCGGTATAATCGATTTTAGTCGCAAGAGCGTGCTAGCGAGCGCGGGCCAGAAACGAATGATCGCGTAATGTATTCGGAATGCATTTGCAAGATAATGGAGCCTCCTCCCGGTTCGTGTCATGCCAAAGATCGGTTAGGCGTCGTTCTATGAAAATAGGTTCTAGAGTTCTGCCTAGAACGATGAATCCTACTGGAACTTAAGCGAACAAATAGCCTGACCAATCATCGGCACGGTGCTCTTCTACGACAGATGAATTCACGCTTTACTCGTCATCGTTCTCCTATTTGTACCGAGTGATTTTTCAAGTAACGCTTAAATGAACGATTTTGTGAGGCAATGGAGCGAAAGTTGTTCCGATTTTTTGTATCGAGTCTGACGAAAGAAAAAACGATATGTTTATTTTTTTTTCTACGTACGCTTTAAGGTCACCGATTTTTTTTTTTTTTTTTTTAAGTTCTATTTTTGACACGACGAAAGTATGCCGACAGAATCGAGTGAGATCGAGATCGAGTGAGAATAAAATTTCTTTTCGATGGTCGACTTTTTTATGTATGCAAGGTTTTCGGATGTGATTTTGAGAAAAAATGAGGTCGAAGACGGTGACCTTCATCTGCGGTTAGGAATCGGTGTCACGCTTCTTCGCGGCCTTGAACCGTCACCAAATGATTCCATACGATTATCCAATGTTTCTTGCTTATTCGATAAGACATCGGCAAAAAAGATTGCCCAAAAAACCAATTCACCAAAGAGAACAGATGTATTCTTTCTCGTTCCATTTTTTCGATCCTCCGTGAAAAGTAGAAGAAATTCTATCTGATTTAAAAAATCATTGTTTTTAAACCCCTATAGAACCCTTAAAAGAAAACGTGATTCAAGAATATAAAAAGATCTATGAAGAGACTTCAAAAACGACTTCGAGATCTTGATACTATTTTTACAAATTTACCATCTTTAGACACCCTACGCAATCCTTAAAAAAGAACGATCCAAGGATATAAAACTGTCCATTAGAGAACTTTATACCGAGTCACGTATGTAAATGTTGACGCTATTTTTACCATTTATCATTGTAATTCCCTTAATCGCGATTATTACTACAATTTAATGTCTTAATTCCCTCATTCATGATTATTTTTACATTGCCAACAGAATTTACGTAATGGCGTCAGCAGGTGGTCGCTGTTAAAAATAGGTACTTGCGTTACATCCGGAGACGATGACGACCGTCCGAGGTCCGCAAAGGACGCCACCAAAGGATCCACACTAAGTCCTTCACTGTCTCGCGGTATTCTTCCTTTTTCTTTCGTCCTCGCGTTTTCCGAAACTGCTCACTCACTCACAGCATCATCTTGGCGGCACTCGCGACCCGTTTTCGCCGCTTAATCATCATCATCCTAGGATCCTTTTTGCACATCTCGTCGATTTCGAAGCGAACCGGTGAAAGCACGCACTCCCGCCGCAAAACCGGATCCGAGCCAGCAAACTTCTACCATGTATATACTTGTCACAGAAAGTGTCTGCTCGAATTCACTGCACCTCAGGTATCACGTACACTCGAGCGTACTCCAAGTTGCCTCGAGTGGATCGATCGTCGATACAGATACCTTGGAACGCGAACGCGAAACGCCCCTCGATAATGTCGTCCTTTCTTACGCGAATCGGATGGAAATAGCTTCGGTTCGGCGTTCGTGAAACTTCGAACGTCATTCTTTCGAAATGAGAACGAAATTCGGGAGAGAAACATTCGATAGAATGATATATATATATATATATATATACACTGCTTTCTTTCGTTACATTCTTTCGTTACAATTCTCAATTTCTTGAAATTTTATGAAACCTAGTACGACCACGTTACATTCATCTAATGGAATTGAACGTTTCAGTTAAGATTCGACACTTTTTGACTAGATCTGATCGGGGCTACGTTACCTTCGTAGGAACGAAATCTTCATTATTAAACAACTCTGGATGTTACTCTTTCATTTCCTCTGTATCTCTTTCTTAAGAGATGAACTGTCGAATTTTTGTCGATCGATTTTATTAGAGCGACTTAGATCTCTGGATCACTTTGTTCAGCCGTCCACTTGGCTACTCGAGATCATGGGAGAGATTCAAGGTTAACAGCGGAGGCTTCAGCGGGTTAGATAATAGCGGTGGATGATTCGACTCGGTCGAATTCAATTTCTAAGACGAACCAGTCTTCCACTGGTCAATCCTTTCGGGGAAGAGGATTCCAGCGAATCGTGTCGCAAGTAATCGCGAAACGAGTAAACGTAGAACTAGTTTAGAAAGAAAATTTGCAACGTGGTTGGTCCAGATTTTCAACGTTGCCGCGATTGTTACTACGTGTACTTTCGAAAGCCGTTAACATGGGTACGGTGACGAAACCGGAAGTAATCGGTCGAACGTATGAAAAAAATAAATCACGAAGATGCGATCGTACGAAACGATCGCCAAATACGCACGAAACCGTACGCGTGGAGGAACGAAGAAAGTGCAATGGACGGGGCACGAATACGTGACGGGAAAACGAAAATGGAGGATTTATTTTAACGCGCAGAAAAAAAGAAAAGCAACCGGTTCACGTTACGCCCAGGTAGTCGCATAATTTCTGATCCGATGGTGCGCACACCTCGCGCACATCCTTGACACCATCTCCCTAAAGGATGTACCAAAGGTCGAAACTATCGTGCGCTCTGACATAACTGCATTCGACAGCACCTGTACAATCGTTTTCACCAAATACCTCTGTCTTCGTTTCGTATACTTTTTATATTTTAATACGTTACGTACGAAGGATCAGATTGGAGAAAACTGTAACGGATCGATCGACGATCTTACCGGGATGATTCCGCCGATACGACGTATCGTATTCTCGGTCGAAAGGACACGAGATGAAAGTGATGCCGCATCGGCAAAAGTGTTATACTTTTACGCGGAAGATCGAGAAACAGCACAGACTTTCCACGTCCTTCTTCGAGAATTCGTAATTGTTTCAAGACCAGGAGATTTGTAGTTTCCAGGATCAAGATAGAAAAGGAACAGCGAATATTCTTCGTGAAGTTATATTTTTATCGATGAGCAAGAATAAAGGACGTCCATTTTGGAGAACAAACCGCAAGAACGTTTGATGGCAGTAACGTTAATTATCTTATTTTTCGAAGTATCCTTGAAAGGTACACGACTTTCAAACGATCTACGATAGACGATGATCCGATATAATCACTCGCGAATATTCCTACGGAGTGACCTTGACTTTAGAAGAGGCCAAAGCCGTTCAGCGTCGGGTCCAGCGATCGAGAACTATCTATTCTACCGTTCGTCTCTATTTTATCAACTAAAATTAATACTTTCTGTGGATCTCGCGATCGCGAAAAGGACCAGGAATATTAAAATGAAAGGAGAAACCATCGCTGAATATCGATAATGTCCGGCGAGTGGCGGACCAGCGCCGTGTTCACCGGATCGAAAAGAGAGAAGGAAAAAGGATCAGATACGATCGCTGGAGAGAGTAGCGGATTAATGGGGGAGAAACAAGAACGACCAGGTAATCCAGATGGAATCGTTAAAATTGAGCGAAGCAACGGGCATATCGGGGCAGCAGTTGAATCCTTGAAGCAGACGGTACCCAGGGTGGACCACCGTGCAGCAACTTACCCGTCCCCATGGCTGACAGCAGCCTCCTTCAGCCACGATCCTTCCGTGTATCCGTAGTCCAATGTTGGCTTGTTTCACTGGTCGGTCCACGATACGAAATAAAAATAAAATAAAATAAATAAATAAATAAAAACCACCTTGTCGGTGATTAAGTTCGTGAAAAGGACGAACTCTTCGTCCAGTCGGGAGACCGCGGACGAACTAGCGGCTTGCGAAGACTTTTGGTGAGACTTCGACGTGAGACAACGACGACGTCATCACCGGCCTGGTGTCTCATTGGCCAACGGTCCTTCTCTTTGCTCGATCGGCCTCTCTCTTTTCACAGGCTCTCCCTCCTCTCCTTTTCCTTCTACAAACTCCTCTCTCGCCTCTCTCGTTCCTTCTCCTCCTTCTTCTTTTGCCTCCCTTCCCTTTGCCCTCACCTGCACGCTCTTCGATTCCTCTCTGTCTCTCACCTGGAACAATCCGATCGCTCCTACCCGTTCCGACGCGCTTCCACGGGGCTCGACAGCTATATAGAACTCCACGTTGAGTCGGTCTACGCGCCAACTCCAAGTGCTCAACGCTTGCAACCAATCTACCTCGCGCTCGTGTGAGAATGCCTCCGCGAAACTCCTCGAGAGCTAGGCTCTGGGTTAAGCGTCTTAGAGGACAGATGATCCTTTTCCTAGAGGTCAATCGGGACCAGACACGCCACTCCAGTACCTTGGAATTTCACGGAGGCTTTGCTCCGTTACGTTCCTCAAGGTTGATCGCGTTCCACCCGTGTCGTGAGTAACAAGAAAAAATTAATTGAACAAAATTGTGGAACCTCGCCATTTAACGAAGAACAATTTTCTATATATATATTTATATATATAGAAAATATATATATATATATATATATATACACCTGTACAGTGGGTAGAGTTATTTACATAACTCACGTTTGACCACGGTTTACTTACATCTACAGACGCGAGAATCGACATGCACCTCGCATACCTCATCCCGTCGAAAATGGCCATCTCCTTCGATCGTACATATAATTTTACTTAGACATCGACTTAGAATGGTTAAATAACCTTGACGGCACTCATCGATTTGTGATGGCTGCCGACTCACATAGTCGTGCTAGTTGAACCGTTTGCTGATGCATAATTCAGAAGGAAAGGTGAGAAAGCGACGGGCGAACACACGCTTCTTCGATTTACATAAGATTCGCCAGGGCTAACATAGCTTTGAAATTCCTCGAGTACCTACTGATTCCTGTGGCGCAATGCGCGCGATGTACCACGTGTTCGTGGGGTTTTTCTTCCGGTCACGAGATCACAAATCAACGGAGGGACATCGGA